CACACCTTAGCGGTTGATGGTTGCTACATTCAACCCCTTAGCGGTGATGGTTGCTTCACCAAACTATAGCGGTGATGGTTGCATCACCACCATATGCGTGTATGTCGCTTTTCAGACCACCTAAGCGTTGAAGGTTCGCTCAACCATCTTAGTGGTGATGGATGCTTCACCGATCTTAGCAGTGAAGGTTTGCAATCACTATCTTAGAGTGATGGGGGGGGGGTAGTTGCTTCACCTTCTTAGTGGTGATGTTGCTTCATCCGGGGGCAACTTAGTGGTGATGGTTAGCTTCCATCCATCCTTAGTGGTGATGGCTGCTTCAACCATCTTAGCATGATGGTTTGCGTACAACACCACTTAGCATGATGGTTTCATCACATTCTTAGCAGTGATGGTTGCTTCAACCATCATAGCAGTGATTGTTTTGCTTCAACCTCTTAGCAGTCGTGATATGCCTTTCCCCATCTTAGCAGTGATGATTGCTTCACCATCTTAGCAGTGATGGTTTGCCACAACCATCTTAGTGATGTTGCTTCATCATCCGTCCCTGTTTCTTATCTTAGCAAGTGAGGTTGCTTTCTCCATCTTAGCATTGTAGTGGCTGCTTCACCATCTTAGCAGTGATGGCAGCTTTCAACCATCTTAGCCAGTATGGCTGCTTCACCATCTTAGCATGATGATTGCTTCACCATCTTAGCAGGTGATGTTAGCTTCACACCATCTTTAGCAGTGATGTTGCTTCAACTCCATCTAGCAGTGAAGTTGCTTCAACCATCTTAGCAGTGATGAATGCTTCACCTCTTAGCAGTGATGGTTGCTTCACCATCTAGCGAGTGATGGTGCTTCACCATCATAGCAGTGATGGTTGCTTCACCATCTTAGCAGTGATGGTTGCTTCACCATCTTAGCAGTGATGGTTGCTTCACCATCTTAGCAGTGATGGTTGCTTCACCATCTTAGCAGTGATGAATGCTTCACTATACTGCTCGTGGTCATAAACTGTCACAATACGCAGCTTCATAACTTAGTATGAACTACAAATACTTAATTATGGTAAACCCAAACAACGTTATTCTTCCCTCTCTATTTTAAACAGTTTTTAAAATTAAAATACGATGAATTTCATCCATTACTCGAGAAAAAAAAGGCAAACGCAATGGCTTTACGTTGATCATTTCCCTAAATGAAAGATGACCATAAGAAGAAAATACTTTCACCATCACTCTTCCTTTAGCTGTCCAACCAGAAGTGCATAAATGTTACAATTTAACCCTTTGAGGGTCCAGACCCTTGAGCTGAAACTTGTACACAGGGTCCAAGAATTAGAAAAAAAAATCAATTTTTTTCCTTATGAAATTGTAGAGAATCTTTTACTAAGGGTAATAAAACAAAAAGGTACAAAATCTGAGGAAAATTGATGAAATTACGCCATCATGAATTTTGTTATGTCAGCGATATTTATGCACCGGTGATTTTTGCCTACAATGAGTCCTATTTTAAGCCAATTACATTATTCCAATCAACCAAATTCTTAGTTATTTTGCTGGTATGTCTTCCATTTTAGTGAATGTGCACAAGAAACTGCCCAATCAACTATTTCAACTACCTAATGAAGTGATCAAAAATTGGTAATCTGTCAAATTTCACACAAAATTCAAGATATTCCAACTTCAAAATAGGGTCCACAATAAACAATGACAGCATTCCTGGCACTAAAATAACATTTCGTCTGTTCATCAGTTATGTTCCCAGGGTTTACATATAAATTTCATTTTGCTTTTTTTTTTTTTTTTTTTTTACATGAAGAATTTTATTCACACAAAAATAGAAGAGTTACTGTTATACAATATTGTAATAATTGAATAAATAATATCAGTGCCTTCATGAATACATATTAGACCCACCAGTTGACGTGTATTAGATGCGTGATGTGATTTGTTTACTCTTGAACATTGGCAAAAATTGAACATTTCCTCTAATTTGAGCTCAATTTCAAGCTATTTTCAAAATCATCTCTATTTTTGTAATATATCTGCCATTCTATCAAATGAGACCAAGATACTGTGAATACAACCATAAAAACCATAAGAAAATACAGTGGAACCTCTACTTGCGAGTTTAATCCGTTCCATGACCTTGCTCGCAACTGGATTTGCTCGTTTGCAGAGTCAATTTTCCCCATTTAAATTAACTGAAATGCAATTAATCCGTTCCAGTGGAATTCTGTACTTCAATAATTTCGCTAATATCAACTTTACGGCTTATTTATCTATCTCACTTCATCTAATATGACATAATAAACAATATAAACAACATACAAACCTGATATATACTCTAAAATGAATAAAATATATCATTCATGTGGTGGTATGGGCGTTGTCGGCAGTGGACGAGTTTGTCTGGAGACCGGGCAAAATACTTCATGAATAATTTCGCTAATATCATCTATACAGCTTATTTATATATTACAGTTCATCTAATATGACATAAGAAACAATAAAAATAACATAGAAACATGATAAATACTCTAGAATGAATAAAATATGTCATTATGTAACAGGTGGAGGCGGCCACAACCACTCCCTCTTTGTTGTGGTAAACACTGCCATCTAGTGACGGCCTTTTGAAGTCGTCTATTATAATTGTTATATGTAGTACATTATTATTATATATGTACTTGGGACCTGACGATCTGTTGGAGTGTGAGCAGGGTAATATTTAGTGAAGGGATTCGGGGAAACCGGTTATTTTCATATAGTCGGACTTGAGTCCTGGAAATGGGAAGTACAATGCCTGCACTTTAAAGGAGGGGTTTGGGATATTGGCAGTTTGGAGGGATATGTTGTGTATTTTAATACGTATATGCTTCTAAACTGTTGTATTCTGAGCACCTCTGCAAAAACTGATAATGTGTGAGTGTGGTGAAAGTGTTGAATGATGATGAAAGTATTTTCTTTTTGGGGATTTTTCTTTCTTTTTTGGGTCACCCTGCCTCGGTGGGAGACGGCCAACTTGTTGGAAAAAGAAAAAAATGTATTACTATTATACATATTACATTATTATTACTGTATTATATTATTATACTATTATTATTATATGTATTATTATACATATTATTATTATTATTATATAAATAATTTGTAATTTTTATTCACACAAAAAATATAAGGTTTACTGTTATTCCTTATTGCAATAATTGTATAAATAATGTCAACCCATTCACGACTGCATACTGGAATGGACAGTGATATCATTTGTTTACTAAGAAACAGCCAAGCAATGGACCATTTCTCTTAGGTTGAGCTCTATTTCAAGGTACTTTTCGTCGTGAAGCAATTAAAATCATATCTATTTCTGTAATATATCTTCCATTCTATGAAATGAGACCAAACAAACGAGAATACAACCATACAAACCATTTGAAATTACTGCTAAGGGGTGGCTAATTGCTGAAAAGTGAACTCCACTATTTATGCTTAAATTTCTTTCATTTTTGGTGTACGTTAAGAAGCATCTTTCCCTCATACATTGCCCAAGTTTCAATAAGATAGTCCAACAAACAACTGAGATACAATTCCCGAGATCAAGAGCAAGAGCCCCTCACCAGTGTCAAGGAACCTGCCTTGAGGTCTGCTGTTTGTGGAAATTTTGCTCGCATATGGAAGCAAAAACTCGACCCATCGACTGCTCGGATTTGGAAAGACTCGCACGTGGACATGCTTGCAAGTAGAGGTTCCACTGTAAACTGCAAAGTCGCTGTTATAATCAAACCAAAAACATGATTGCAGTTTTTTCTCATTATTCACTGTGTGCTGCAGGATTATTTTAAGATCTTGCACACTTACCACAGAAATCCATTTTCTTATATCTAAGCCCAAATTTACTGCTCACAGCTTATATGAGTGAGCTGAGCTCATGCAGAACAACAATGGCACAGACCCGGGCTTCAAAACACGTAGAACAAAGGCACAGAAAATCAAGTGGTTAAATTCTTTTTTTTTTTTTCAACAAAACGGCTGTATCTTACTGAGGCAGGGTGACCTAAAAAGAAAAACAGAATTTTCTTCTAAAATTTAGTAATTTATACAGAAGAGGTTACTAGCCCCTTGCTTCCGGCATTTTAGTCGCCTCTTACGACACACATGGCTTATGGAGGAAGAATTCTTCTCCACTTCCCCATGGAGTAATTTAAATGTAACATGTTAAAAGATTGTGAGTGAATACTAGAAGTTAATGCAAGTCTTGTCTATAATAATAACATGAAAATCATATATATATATATATATATTTTTTAAAGACCTGCTGTCTCCCAGGGAGGCAAGGTGACCCAAAACAGAGGAAAACAGTTTCACCATCATTCATTCAATCCCTTAATTACAAACAAATTTCTATGTGGGGGACAGCTGATGCAGAACAACAACAAAACTGTATGACTCATTTAAATGACAAATTCTTTAACTGGATTTACTACAATGACACTTTATTGTTCATTACCAACTCAGCTTTGGGTTTTTTGTTAAAAAATAAATCGAGGACATAAAAACCAAAATCCAGCTTGAGTTAGTCATTTTGTTCTATACAACATTTCAAGCACAAATGAATTTCTTTTACAGAATGTTAGTATACACTAATATACTAATCAGGCAGAAACCTTCAGGTAGTTGGTCAGACATACTATTGATATACCTCTCAATTATATGCAATACTGTTAGAAGCAATTATTATATTACTATTTTTATTACAAATTATTACATTATAATATTATACATGAGGAAATGCTAAATATGGGTCATACAGCGCCTGGGTAATGGGAGATAATTAGGTTTGCTTTGAGGAAGGGAAGGGTAGCTCCAGTTCCCTGAAAGAAGAGCTACCCAGCAGCATCAAAGAGCTTCCTTGAAGAGTACTGCTACAAAATATTACAAAGCAACAACAGCTAAGGCTTTGGTATTAAATGTTCAAGAGACGATGTAATAATGGTTATGAGAGACGACACTTACTGCAGGTGAGATTACAGGTGGGGGAGGAGGAGGAGGGGAGGCGGAGGGCAGGTAATTAGGCGGAGGGACAGTGGGAGGCGGGTGATGCAGGATCACCTGGCCACAGTGTGGGCAGCGACCCATGGGGCTGGGCGGAGAGAACAGATCCCGCCCACCGCTGTAACCTGACAAACCTGTAGAGGAAAAAACAATAGTGAGTATTGGTTAGTAAAAACTACTGTATGTCTTGAAGACTCAGTCACAATACCATGGCTGGAACAATGTACATCCTGAAGATTGTCACAATACCATGGCTGGAACAATGTACATCCTGTAGAATGTCACAATACCATGGCTGGAACAAAGTACATCCTGAAGATTGTCAAAATACCATGACTGGAACAATGTACATCCTGAAAATTGTCACAATACCATGGCTGGAACAATGTACATCCTGTAGAATGTCACAATACCATGGCTGGAACAACGTACATCCTAAAAATTCAGTCACAATTACACGGCTGGAACAATGTACATCCTGGAGAAGAATTGTCAGGCAACATTTTGATCCACCCTGGATCATTACCAACTCACATTATGAAGGTCAAGGATGGATGAGAACAATGTCCAAATATTTATCTCCAAGGTATGACCTAACTAGCTGTGAACTGCACTTCCTCCTGAAGACTACAAAAGTATAAAAGGTTCACCTAACACTGGCGACTCATGCACTCATGACCTAATTGTGTCCATGAAAGCTGTCAATGGTCACAATGTTTTAAGTCAAACCATTAAGTCAGTCCTTCAATCTTGATGGACTGACCACATCGACTACAGGCCGAGGGACTGATTACCTCATACTCCTCATCTTCCTCTGTTATTCTCTGTATTGGACTGAAGAAGCCACTAGCTGGCAAAATGTTTTCCCAAATGTTGCACAAATGTCTCATTCTTCAACAAAATCGAAACCTAATCATATGATTTTGAACATGCCAAAATCATTTTTTTTCCTTGGTAATCTTTTTAATAAAAATTACTTTGTACATAATGAGAACACTGGAGAAATAAGGTAATACACAGTAAATATTAATTTCCAGCAAATACAAGCACTCCTTGACTTACAACAGGGTTGTCTTCCGTGTGAACCTATCCTAAATTGAAAATATCTTCAAGTCGAATATGAATACAGCCTCTCTTTACTTAGTGACTTACTCATTTACTGACGACTTGGACTTACAATGGCCTCTCTGATTAGTATGCATACCTAAATAATGTATATTAGAGCTGATTTCTTGTATTCTGATTATTACAGTATACAATATATTACAATATAGTTGGACTTGAGTTCTGGAAATGGGAAGTACAATGCCTGCACTTTAAAGGAGGGGTTTGGGATATTGGCAGTTTGGAGGGATATGTTGTGTATCTTTATACGTATATGCTTCTAAACTGTTGTATTCTGAGCACCTCTGCAAAAACAGTGATTATGTGTGAGTGAGGTGAAAGTGTCGAATGATGATGAAAGTGTTTTCTTTTTGGGCCACCCTGCCTCGGTGGGAGATGGCCGACTTGTCAAAAAAAAAAAAAAAAAAAAAAAAAAGGCACATTACTGTACAAACATTTAAAATTATACCAGAAATGTTATAAATGGTGCAAAGGTGACATTAAAACAATATCAAAGATGGATGACACAAAACCCCTACCATTATAGTATTCTCCCCATTTAGCAACGAATTCGTTTACCGACGTGGTTTTAGGAACAGAACTCCGTCGTTACATGAGGAGAGGCTGTATATGATAAATAATTGTCACTGAATAAGTACACAAATAATTAATGTTACTAAATACCAGTACTGAAAAGTAAATAAATGAATACAAGTTTATCTTATCAATAAACGCACAGTACTGTACAGTACAAGTGTGCATTATTATCGCACCATCGTAAAGCTGAAATATCACAAGTGGACCATCGTAAAGTGAGCAGCATCTGTACTTTATAAAGAAAAGTCTAAACCCTTTCAGAGTCTGTCCCGTAGATCTACGGCTTTGAAGCCAGGGTCTAAGCTGTAGATCTATGCCATGAGCTCAGCTCACTCAGATAACCTGTGAGCAGTAAATTTGAGCCTAGATATGAGAGAATACATCTATGTGGTAAGTGTGAACCACATAAATCCTGTAGCATGCATGAGAGAAATAGAGATGATTTTGATTGGTTTTAGTACTGAAAATGGATTGAAACTGAGCTCACAGAAGCGGAAATTTTTGCTGATGCTGAATAGTAAACAAATGTCATCATGAGTAATATGCATCAGCTGGTGGGTCTAATATATATTCACAAATGTGCTGATATTATTTATACAATTATAACAACACTGCATAACAGTAAATCTTCTATTTTTTTGTGTGAATAAAAATTCATTATGTGAATAAAAAATCAAAATGGAATTCATTTGTAAAGCCTGAAAATGTAACTAATGAACAGAGGAAATGCTAGTTTAGTGCCAGGAATGCCTGCATTGTTTATTCTGGACCTTATTTTGAAACTGGAATATTTTGAACTTTGTTATACTGGCCAAATTACCAATTTCTAATCACTTCATTGGGTAGCTGAAACAGTTCACTGACTGATTTCTTAGGCTCAGTTGATAAAATAAAAGTAATACTAGTGAAATAACTAAGAATTTGGTGGACTGGAAAATTGTAATTGGCCTAAAGTGGGAGTCAAAGTCCACAAAATTGCCGATGAGTAAATATTGCTGATTCATCATACTTTGCAAGAGTGTAATTTCATAAATTTTCCATCAAATTTCATACTTTTTGTTTTATTACCTTCAGAAAAATATTCTCTATCATTTCATAAGAAAAAATAACAATCTTTTTTTGAAAATTCTTGGACCTTGGCTGTCACTCTGAGACTTGGCCTCTGGACCCTGAAAGAGTTGAAGAGTGAGAGTGGTTCAGGCTGTAACTATTAACAGTTATGAGGAGCACTGCCCCCGTAAGTGAAGTCTCAGAAACAGCTTCCAAAGTTTAAAATAAAACATTGGGGAAATAAGAACTACAGTGGACCCTTGGTTATTGGCTGTAATACGTTCCAGAAGGTCGGCCGATAATTGAAATGGCCAAAAACCGAATTAATATTTCCCATAAGAATTAATGGAAATACAGTTAATCCGTTCCAGACAAAAATATTCACAAAAAAATGATTTTTTCAACAATTATGTAAGTTTTACATACCTTTATTAAAGGCTAATGCTGGCTTCTGGAAGATAGGGAAAAGGAAAGAGGGAGGAGTTAGCGTTTGGAAGGGGAATCCCCCTCCATAGAGACTTTAGGTAGCAAAGCCTTCTCTGGGGTTACTTCCCTTCTTTGTCTTTTAATGCCACTAGGACCAGCTTGAGAGTCACTGGACCCCTGTCTCACAACAAAACTGTCCATAGAGGTCTGTTTCTGGCATCTAACATTTCCCTGAAGTGGGACAGGGTTTTGTTGCTGAACATGTTGCAGATATGGCTTGTTTCAGCTTGGTCAGGGTGGTGTTTCTCTACAAAAGCTTGCACCCTAGTCCACATTGCACACACCTCTTTAATCTGTCATTTACTGCTACAGTACATTCATTACTAACCTGAAAATATTTGTAGTCTTAATGCACAGCAAGAGGCGAGTAGTATTTATTTGTAGGAAGTCAGTGTAGGTAGCAGTAGATGTAGGTACAGTACATGTATGTAGCCTCCCCCAGGCTACACTTCACAGCTATATTACAATACACAGCCATATTATTACACTACACAGCCATATTATTACCATGTTCACTGAGTTTAATCGTTTCTAACAACTACCTTTAGATGCCATCATAAACAAAGGGAGAAGTAATAAATAATTCATGCCAAGAATTGTAAACAAACGCATATGAAGGGCAGTTACTGCACCAGTCGTCAGATTCACGATTTTCTCTAACGCTGCATCAGAGACAACGTAATGTTTACTCTCCATCCCACTCTCCACTTGATAACATGTAAACATTGCGTATTTATATGCCATGTTTATGTGCTACATGATATGTAATGTGTTTCTTAGACAATTTTGAAGAAAATATTATAGATGGAGTAATGAAAGTGTCTATATCAAAGTAAAATAAGACATTTAATGTGGAAAAGAGTGATTATTAAATATACATCAAATATAATAAACATTGCATGTTTATATGCTATGTAACGTGTTTCTTACATAATTTTGAAGAAGATATCATAGATGGATTAATGAAAATGTCTATATTAACATAAAATAAGACATTTAATGTGGCAAAAAGTGATTATTAAATATACATTGCATAAAATAAACATTACATGTTTATATGCTATGTAACGTGTTTCTTATATAACTTTGAAGAAGATATAATAGATGGATTAACCCTTTCAGGGTTGCCAGGCCCTCTCCAAGACTTGTTCTCAGGGTCGCCAAATTTAAAAAAAAAAAAAAAATTTCTTATGAAAAGATAGAGAATCTTTTCCCAATCATAATGACACCAAAAGTACAAAATTTGATGAAAAACTTATGGAATTATGCTCTCGCGAAGGTAGCAGTCTCGACGATGTTTATGCATCAGCGATTTTGCCCACTTTGAGCCCTATTTTCGGCCAATTCCAGTGTACTAGTTGACAAAAATCATAACTATTTCGTGGAACTCCATTTTTTCTATAGAATGAGTACAAGAAACCACCCATTTACCAATTTTAACTATCCAATAAAGCGGTCAGAATTTAGCAATTTTGCCAATTTCACACAAATTTCAAAAGATGCTAATTTCTGAACAGGGTCCAGGATAAACAAGAAAGACATTCCTGGCACTAAAATAACATTTCCTCTGTTCATTAGTCACGTCCCCACGCCCCCCTTACATTCTTTTGCTTTCCACTTTTAATTTTTATTCTCACAAAAAAATAGAAGATTTACTGTTATGCAGACTACTGCATTAGTGTAGAAATGGTATAAATAATATCAGCGCACTTGTGAAAGAATATTAAGACTCACCAGTTGACGTGTATTGGACGTGTAGCATGATTTGTTTACTTTTGGGTAAAAATCGAACATTTCTGCTACTTTGAGCTCAATTTCAAGGTACTTTTCATTGTAAAACCAGTCAAAATCATATCAATTTGTAATATGTCTTCCATTCTATAAAATGAGACCAGGA